CCTTGTAAATTGAAAAGTGTGTACTTGAAAATATATTAAACTGAAAATATATTAATGTAATCCACACAAAATGGCCAAAGATTTTGCAAATTCTGTTCTCAGAACTCTGGAAATGCCATTTCAGAGACCCCCTTAAAAGCTCGCGTCGTTGACGCTAAACTTGTGACTTCGCCACTCGTTCCCGTGAGTCTGCGCATTTGTACCAAAAATACGCCTCTGAAGGCAAAGTGCGTCCTTGTAAAAATTCCGTATTTTAATGCCTGGTCTACAAGATAAATTAAACGGGAGGCGTATGCAAATGAGTTGCTCCATCAAGAAAATCGAGCATTAAAGGCAGGATGAAAACAAATCCCTGCTAGAAAGGGTCGCTAATTTGTCCTTCATAGCATCCGATTTAAACACCAAACTTAAAGAATTTGAAATTGAAAAACAGTCTTTAGTCACAGTCCTTAAGCTGGTTAACTTAGACCAAAGTACCCATGATAAAATTCTCATGTGACCTGGAAAATGCACCGTGGAAGCATGAATAAAGGTCAGCATTTGTTTACTCGCAGAAAAGATAGTGACGTTGTTACGAGAAACGCGTTTGAAGTCCTGAGTGATGCGGGCTGTAATGAAACCAACATTGATGATTATGACGACGGCAGAAGAAAAGTCGATTACCCCAGCTCTATAGCTACTTCGCAACGAGAATCCCAACGATCGAACGCAGATAATGAGTCCTCAATTAACAGAACATTACTGGCATGCATTAGGATCAAGTAATCGGCAAAATGCAAAAGATGGCAGAAAGAAATTAGTCTTTATTGCTGCCGGCGATTCCACTGTTCAGACTGTGCATGACTGGGAGATGTCAAATACCGACAGAAATGTTGCCGTGAAATCTTTCTCAGGAAGCAAAGTCAATGATATGCAAGATTATCTGAAAGTTGAAACCATTGCTTCGCGATCGTCGCAACCCACATTAAATAATTCTCCACGTTCGTACAAACGACATTAATTCCGAGAAATCTCCCGACCAGTTGGTATAGAAGGTATTGTTAACTTAGTCAACTGCGAGAAAAATCTGGACATGTTAAATTGGCTATCGAATTCAAACAAAAGTTAATCAAACAAACAATCTACTTAATGCATTATGCACAGATAATAATGTTTACTTTATTAATCATACTAACATAGATTTAGATTGTTTAAATAGTGGCCGTTTGCACTTGAACCGTAGAGGACAGGTATAGCATATGATGAATGCAAAGAAACTATATGGATTATTTAAATTGACGCGACATCCGTCAGACTAATTCTGAGGAAATTTTGTGATTCGAATAGGTTACCATATCTTAGGGGTTTCAAGATGGCATTACTGAATATTGTCGGCTTGTCAAAACACATTGATGAAATTCGTTTATTGTTAGAAAATCAGACTGTACGTTGATATTCTGGCACTCAAGGCTTCACCGTGATATTCCAAGCGAATTTGTTAATATAGACGGATATGATAGGGACAGACACGGTGGCGGTATCTGCTTTTACATTACGCGAATCATAGCATATTTTAATTAAATCGTGATGATTTAGTGCCAGAAAGTTTAGAGTCAGTATGTTTGGAAATTAACCAGCCCAACTCTTTTATTGTTTGTATACCATTTATCGTCAGCCATCAACAACCGTCGAACCTTTCTCACAAATCGATTCTTTGCTTATATAAGAATGTCGATAACGAGAATAAGGAAATTTATTTATTAGGAGATTTAAACTGTAATTTGTTAGACCACTCTAACTCTTCTCCTAAACACTTACATTCCATCATGCACCTTTATCGATAACCTACAAGAATTACTGAATCGTCTTCTACATTACTTGACGTTCGCATTAAATAATCCTAAACCAGGCTTGGAGAACGAGTTAATGATATTCTTGGGAGGAAAAAGAAGGACACAACGATTAACGAACTAAAGTTAGGAAATGATACAATTACTTCAGACGGGATCTCCTCTGGAAATGGCTATAATTGTTTCAATGACTATTTTACAAGTATTGGTGGTAAAATTGGAGACTCCTGACTTGAACACTCTCAGATTTTAAATTTTGACAGGCATATGATATGAGTGATAATCTAAATACTTTGGAATTTACTTTGCATTCAGTTAACGAATCAAAGATTTTCAGGCTACTTAACAATTTGTGTATTTCTAAATCTACTGGATGTGACTAAATATCGGCTAAAATTCTACGAAAATATTTGGCTTCTGTAATTACACTATCTTTAACAAATCTGTTCAACTTTTCTATTGAGATGGGAATTATCCCGTCTGAATGGAAAATTGTTAGTGTTGTAACGCTTCATAAGAAGGGCAGAACTACAGGCCAATATCAATTTTGACGGTTATTAGCAAAATATTTGAAAAGATCGTGTATGAGCAGTTATTGAATATTTTACCACAGCAGTTTGGATTCATGCAGACGCTTTCATTCTACATCTGTTGCTTTGCTAGATTGTACTGATGAGTGGTATTATAATATGGATCGTGGTTTATATAATCTTGCCGTTTTTTTCGATTAAAAAAAGCATGCATTTGACACGGTAAACCACGACATATTACTGGCCAAACTTGAGTTATATGGTATCAAGAATAGTCTTCTTATATGGTTTTCATATCTTACTTATCATAATTTTGGGTCCACTTCTGTTTTCAATTTATATCAAATATCAATGATTTACCGAACTGCTTACAACACTTTATGCTGTCTCTACAGCACGTATGTTACTAACATCACAGTGTCCGGTAAATCAATTGAAGAAGCTAAGGTGGCCGTTAATGCTGATCTCAATAATATCAGAGAATGGCTTCTATCAAACAGGCTTTGTCTTAACCTAGTCAAAACGGAATATATTTTGATTGGATCACGGTACAATATTAACACTGTAGTGGAAGAACAACCGTGTGTTTTTATTGGAGATGAACCAATTAAAGGGGTTCAGGTCACAAAAGCTCTTGGTATCAAAATTGACCAATTTTTAACTTGTGACAGTCGTATTGACCATATTTCGAAAAATATATCTTCTGGAATAAGTGCTATGAAAGATTTCACTAATTCCTATACTTTGATGTCAGTTTATTATGGCCTAGTCCAACCCATTTCGTCTATACTGTTGTGAAGTTTGGAATTCCATTAGTACAGAGACCAGTCTGAACAACTACAAAAACTTCACAACCACAACAGATGTGCTAGAATTTTAATGAACTTTAAAGATGAGCCGGGGCTCAACTGGCCCTTGATAAATTAGGGTGGAAAGTATGTTCGGGGTTTGTTCGAATGAGGCCAAAGCTGCGGCTGTTTAAAATAGATTTTAAAATTTTATATATAATTTTTTTAGATTTTATGTCGTTGACGACGAAAGCTTAGATAAAGACCTTTTTCAAAGTGATTTTAAAATCTATTTTAAACAGCCGCAGCTTTGGCCTCATTCGAACCAACCCCGAACATACTTATCTAATATGCTGCTGAAGGACAACTTTAAACGCTAGGGTGGAAGGCTTGGAAGAAAGGCGAAAACATATTATGGCCCTAGGGAGTTTAAGCTTCACGTTTCCGGGACGGAAAACGGCAGGTTCGAATTTTCTTGGCAAAATTTTCGTTGAACGTTTTCGTTTCATATTTTCTTTCTTGCGTCGAAAGAATAGTTATGCATTTTTCATTCAGTTTTAAAACAGCAAGTTCATTTACTCTTTATTGCCTGATACTGTGAAAATTTTCTTTGCCTGCCGTTTGCCGTGCACGTATAACGCGAAGCTTAAACTCTCTAATGTTTTAAAATTCTAACCACATCCACAGTTATAGTTTACGAGGTTCAAACTCATCTCTCTTTCTGTCGTGACCAAATACCGAGTATTTCAGAAAATATTTCAGATATAGTGTGGTTAAAATCTGGAATAGCATTCCTGAACAAGTAAGAAACTACAGCGAATCTTTTAATAGTCAATATTATTTTACCTTGTAATATCTACCATGAATATGTGCTGTCATGCGAAGTGAGCGCTTATTGGTAGATTTAGTTCAGAAAATAAAATCACATTTAGTACATACCCTTTGCTTGTTCTCTCTTAAATATTTTGTATTCAGAGCACTAAGTACCCAATGTATTACCAAACCACGGATGCTTCCTCTCGCCCGAATAAAAGTGTCTTGTTTTCGTGAGTGACTATTATGAGATGTCGTGTCTTGAATTGGTGTAAACACTGACACGCAATGACAATTATGAGATGTCATTACGAGTGTTGCCAAAATATAAACAAATACAAAAAGATTATAAGCATTCGTGATACTTATTTATTACTTGTAAACACTGTATATAATCTATGTAGGTTAATTGTGATGTTTTGATCAGGATGCGACGCTGCATTCATAATATATTCCTATGATTATTACTGCTAAAATTTCAACAAGAGTCATAAGGCACGGACCATTGAATAAATATAATTTAACAAAGAAAAAAAATTAATTGCCTTCTAAATACCCACTCAAATGAGTGGGTATTTAGAAGTCAATTAATTTTTTTCTTTGTTAAATTAACAGCCTTATTTTAGTTTGGCACGCATGCAAATAGTTACACATTATTGCGCATAACTATAGCAGATAGATAGATAGATAGATATTTAATAAATTTCTCCCTAAAAGGGTTTTTCAGAAATAATTTACAGTTACATGCATGCAGTAATAATTAAGGTTACAAATATAAGTTTAAACAATTATCAGAGACTATATACAAAATGTCCTAGGCTATACTAAATGTTATGTTTTGCAAGCAAATGTTTTTTAAGTGCTACGTTAAAAATTTTAAGAGAAGAGCAGTCTTTCAAGTTCTTGTCTAAATTGTTCCAAATATGGACGGCTCTATATGTAAATGATCGTTGGCCAGCTGCAGTCTTAAATAGAGGTATTTGAAGAGAGTCGTGTGTACGAGTCCTACGGTCGTGGATTGATGACCTTTTTATCAATTTGTTACAAAGGTAGTCGGGTGCTAGGTTATTCACACATTTATAGGTCAAACTGGCGTCTCTAAAATATAGTAGTTTGTCTGCTGGGAGCCAATTCAATTCACGTAGAAGTGGAGTTACGTGGTCATATACTTCCTGGATTTCGTGATGATTTTGCACGCAAAGTTCTGGATCGACTGAACTTTCTTCACGTTGGAAGCAGACGTATTCGACATGCACACCGAAGAACAATAAACCATTTTGCTCATGACTAAGGATGAGATGACTTCCGATAAAGTTTTTGTGTCGTAACTATTTTTTGCACGATTTATTTGGCATAATTTGTTCATACACGACGAGACAAGAAGCGAGACATGGTTGTTGTAATTTAGGTGTCTATCTAATGTGACACCTAAATCTTTGGCAGAGTCCACTGGCTTAAGAGACTTGCCCAAGAATGAAACTGATGTGTCTGTAGGTAGTCTGCTCATCAGCTGCCTTGTTCCGATCATCATGTACTTTGTTTTCCCCGGGTTAATTAAAAGTTGGTTTTCACAGCACCAACTTGCAACTCTGTGTATAGGTCTTGCTCGAGATTTGTAATTGCTGCACTATCTGACGTAATGGGAAGGAGAGGAGAACTTTCGAGTCATCAACGTACAATTCAAGGTTGGAGTCACAAGATACGGAGGGAAGATCGTTTAAGTAAATACAAAATAATAATGGTGAAAGCGTCGCACCTTGGGGTACTCCGTGAGTGATTGGTATAGTGGATCAGATAGGGTGGAGTTGATGTGGGTGGACTGAAAGCGATCTGACAAGTAGCTTTTAAACCACTGTACTGTTGCTGGGGAAACGTCGACAATCGCTTGTTTGTGTAACAATCTGTGATGGTTAATATTACTGTCGAAGGCTTTCGAGAGATCTAATAATACTAGAGCGGCGAGTTCCTTTTTGCTATAGCCTCTAGCATCGTGTCGGTACTAAAAATGTTCAGGGTCTCTGTGGAATAGAGTTTTTTATCTTCGCTTTGATGAGGAGAGAGCAGGTTTTTGCTTATTAGCTTAAGGTAGCTACTGAATTGTTCGAGAACAATTTTTTCACAAACCTTAGAAGCTATGGCAAGAAGAGATTGTTTGACGCTACTTCGTGGTCTCCGTCTTTCACTATGGGAATCACTTCCGCTTCCTTCCATGCAGTAGGGAATGTATGAGAGGTTATACAGGGTGTATCATAAAAAACGGAGTCCTCGCTTCAAATATAAATTTCGAAACGAATTTTTCAGTTTTGACAGCAAAACTAATTGTTTTGCCGCGTTTAATGGTTGTAAAACTTTTAAAATGGATAAAAATTTGGTATTTTCGACTTTCGACCCTCGAATTTTGACCCTCGACCTCGACTTTTGACCCTCGACCTCGACTTCCGAACCTCGACCCTCGACACTCGACCATTACCCAAACTCAAACAATTGTCAATGTCAATGACAATGCTCAACTTGGCAAGTCTGAAAAACAGTAGAAAGCGTGCTAGAACTAGAAAACATAAATTGTTTAAGTCAAACAGCATTAAACTTAAAGTTGTGGGCACTAGTATAGCTAAATGTAATATGCAAAGAATAAAGACATCTGACAAAAATTTCTTAATTGTGTCTGGTGATGTAGAGTTAAACCCAGGTCCCGTAAATATTTCAAATATGTCAGTATTGACCACAAGACTAGCTCGAATAGGACGAGAGCCAGTGAACATTATCGGTGATGGTAACTGTTTCTTTCGTAGTGTAAGCCATCAGTTTTACAGAACAGAAACTCGTCATGCCCAAATAAGAGCTCTTGCAATCCAACATTTAATAAATTGCCCAGAACATTTCATAGAGTCTAATACTGAACAATCATGGTCGCATTATTTACAGAATATGTCACGGCTAGGCTCATGGGCAGACCATATTATCATACAGGCAGTTGCGAATGCAAATAATTTAAGAATTCATATCACAGAAAGTGCAAGGGAAATGTAAGAGATATTTATATCGGACATCTTGATGAACTGCATTATGTTTCTACAACGCCAATTGAACAATCTGCTTCTGAACAAATCGGAAATCAGACAGCAACTGATAAACGAAAACCAAGCCCACAAAATCCGCAATATAATGGTAATAAAAGTGTCTCAGAAAACTCTGTCTCAATGAAAAATTTTCAAAAAAGAAAAGACTATATGAAGGAATACATGAAAAAAAGAAGGTCGAACAACGAATTTAGAAAAAAAGAAAGCGAGAGAAGAAAGTCATATAATAAGAAATACAAAAACTGGAATTCTGAGAAAATTAAGGAATTTTGGCAAAAAGCCACTGCAACATATACAGACAATCAACTATCCTGAAAAAGTAAAAAAGAGTTTTATGGCAGCCACTGCAACATACAGACAATCGAATTCTGACAAGGTCAAAGAATCGAATAAAACAGCCACTGCAACATACAGACAATCAAATCCTGAAAAAGTGAAAGAGAGTTTTAAGGCAGTGAGGCAGTCACTGCAACATACAGACAATCAAATCCTGAAAAAGCAAAAGAGAATTTTAAGACAGCCACTGCAACACTACAGACAATCTAACCCTGAAAAAGTAAAAGAGAATTTTAAGACAGCCACCGCAACATACAGACAATCAAACCCTGAAAAAGTAAAAGAGAATTTTAAGACAGCCATTGCAACATACAGACAATCAAATCCTGACAAGGTCAAAGAATCGAATAAAACAACCACTGCAACATACAGACAATCAAATCCTGAAAAGGTCAAAGAATCGAATCAAACAGCCACTGCAACATACAGAAAGTTAAATCTTAAAAAGGTTGCGGAATTGTCAAAATTGTCAAATATTATGTACCAGCAAAACTATTCGGAAAGAGTTAAAGATACTCAAAAAAGGAAATATCTTAAACGAAAGTTAGGTTGAAGTGAAAATGGAACTACGGTGATTAAATACAAGAAAGTAGAAGATAATTCAAAAGACAATTCACGTGAAGCTTTGCAGATACCTGGTAACTCTGATGATTCAAGACAACAAATCGACGTAACAAAGGCGACTGAGTTATTTCATAAGAACATTAGTGTTGGACCAGAATATATTTGCACCTGTTGTGACCAATTATGGTATAGATCATCTGTCACTGAGTGCAATGTTTCTTTATATAAATCTTGTTCAAAAGAAATCCTTAATTTATGTCTGACTGGTCTGAAGAGCATTGATAACACTGAATGGATATGTGGTACATGTCACTCAAACTTAAAGGTTGGTAAACTTCCAAGTTGCGCAAAGGCAAACAAAATGACTTTCCCAGAAAAGCCCGAGGTCTTAAAAAATTTAACACCCCTTGAAGAAAGACGCCGAGAATACCTTTTATGCAGGTACGGGAATTGCCTAATGGAGGTCAATTAAGTATTCATGGGAATGTAGTTAATGTTCCTGCCGATGTTAACACAACCGTTAGTTTATAAATTTGTTGTGTTGGTGTAATGTACTCATGTTACTCCAGGGCCGTAGGAAGCTCTTTTCGATTGGGGGGGCTGAAAGCAAGGGCCGAAGGCCCGAGGAAATTTTTAAATTTAGAGTCTCTAAAATGCCATTTCCTGGACTTTGGGGGAAGATTTAACAGAATTCTGATAGTCAGAAAACAGCGTTTTAGTATGTCGAAATTTACAGGAAAGTATGGGCCAGACTGTAGTATTATAAATGCGCGGCGGGAATTTTCGTCGTAAATGGCAGTTACGCGGAAATGAAGGCAGAACATTTGAGAAAATTTCGAAAATCTGGAGTCTCTAGATGGTCTGAAATGGCATTTTCAGAGTTTTCTTTCGCAAGACCCAACACGCAAAAGACAAAATAAATCATTAGTTCATCAAAAATGTGCAGATTTTGTGGGATTTTCTTGAAAATGCGCGACAGAAATTCAGCAAAAATTTCTACGCGAGGAACGATCTGGAGTATGAGTAATATCTTCATTCTTTGCAGTTTGTCACAGATTAAATGATAAAGTTTGCATGATTTTGAAAAAAGAATGATTATTAGCAAATTATTGGGGGGGGGGGCTGTAAATGATATAGTTCTTGCAGTGACTTTTTCAATTTGAACACTATCCTTGGATCCCTAGTTTATAGTTATGATCAATGATCTCGCCGCGAATTAGAACCATTGCGTATTAACGGTAATGAGATCGAAACCGTCAAATTCTTTATTTCTTCAAACTCTTGGGTGTGTGGATCACAGCAGATCTTACTTGGAACCTACACGTCGACAAGATTACTAAGCTTCTAAGCGTCTGTATGTTCTTCGCATCCTAAGGCGAACTGTTTTATTGACACTGTTTCATATCATTACATTTTTTTAAAATACAGGAAGAAAAATAAAGTATATTGTAGGAGTTAAAAATAATTAAATATTCTAAAATTTCAAACCAAAAAGTAGTAGTGAGCGACAGCCAGAGGAGCAAAGCTTTCCAGCTGGCAAAGCTTTCGAGCTGGTTTTCTACGCTGAGTCACTAACCAAAAGTGGCCTTAATCTTCTGTCGACAAGAAGAGATAATATGTGTTAAAACTTTTTCAGGAAATTAACTATTAATAACGATAAATTTTCTGAACTCTTACCGAAGAGAGAACCGATAACTTACAACTTGAGACAAAAGCGGAATTTATCACTAGTTAAATGCCGAACAGAACGGTTTAAGAAAAGCTACATTCCTTTTGAGCATTATTTATAACATATTTTATTGTATATAGTATATTGTATTGTATATAGTATATTGTATATTGTACGTATGATAACGTAATTTAGCTTACTTTTTCAGCTGCAAAGGTTTCTTTAAAGTGCCTATGAAATGAAATTTTTTATTCGATATTCCCATAGTGTTTAATGTATAAAAGACGATGTTAAAAACGCAAGCTCTAAAAATCAATTAAACAAAAGTTATCGAGGGTTAAACATGCCGATTTTGGCTTCAAAAAGTGGTTCTGTCTGTGCGCGGCCAAAAGGCGTCAAATTACTTCCTGTGACGTAAAGAGCAGGGCACGCTCAATAACATAAGCTGTATTAAGCTCTGTCAGTTGTACATAAATGATCACGCAAGCCTGTAAAAGATAAACGAAATCTCGCCTTTTTCGAGCTCTCCCTTACCCTACTAACTCTACGTGACGAAGGAAGGGCCTTCGTTCGAAACGTCGAGAAGAGATTTGGTTTAATTGTTATAATTTATAGGCCTGTGTGATCGTTAATACAAGGTAGAGATTATACTATGCATCCACGCCACAGCCGACGCTGAATAATCCAAGCAAAGATTTTCATTTACATATTAGCCGCACAAATATGGAGGAAACGTCTCATTCATGTGAAATGAGGGGGAAGATTCTAAAAGTGTTTTGTGTTCCTGGAGGGCCAAATAAGAAGCCATGCACAAATAGTGGCGAGTCTGGCGACACACCAGCATTAGCATGCATTGTTTTCCGAAAGATTTCTGTCTGTTGCTTGGCTATATAAATGAATGACAGCTCCACCTACGAAGGCAATGGGTTCGTTTTGTTCGAAGACATCGATCTGACTTCGACCCTGAAACGTCTTCTTCAAGAATATGGTTGCGCTCTGCACATTTTGACGAGAGCTATTTTGACGAGAGCTATTTTATTCGAGAGCTATTTTATTCGAGAGCTATTTTATTCGAGAGCTCTAGAGCAATTTAC